TTTTCAACTCTTGAAAACTCTCTTCATACTTAGAACTCCATATAAACTTTCCATTCTTCTTAGTCAACTCAGTCAGGGGTCTCGCAATTTTAGAAAAATCTTTGATAAACCTCCGGTAATGCCCCATAACCCTAAGAAACTTAGAATTTCAGTAGGGTTTTCCGATTGTTTCTACTTAGAAACTGCTTCAACTTTGATTAGATCTACCTTAATTCCTTCCTTGGAGATTATGTGACCTAAGAAAGTTATTTCCTTCAATCAGAATTCACATTATTGAACTTAGCATACAGTTGATGTTCTCTGAAAATTTGCAAGACAATCTTCAAATGTTTCTCATGATCCTCCACAGTCTTAGAGTATACCAGTATATCGTCAATGAACACCACCACAAATTGATCTAAATAGGGTTTAAAGATTCGATGCATTAAATCCATGAAAGTTGCAGGAGCATTAGTTAATCCAAACGGCATCACCGCAAACTCAAAGTGCCCGTACCTTGAATTAAAGGCAGTTTTAGGTATATCTTTTTCGAAAATCCTCAATTACTAATAACCTTGAGATCCAACTTTGAGAATACTACTGCCCCTTGCAATTGGTCAAACAATTCATCAATGTGAGGTAAAGGGTACTTGTTTTTAACGATAACATCATTCAAGTCTCGGTAGTCTATACACAATTTTAAGCTCCCATCCTTCTTTTTAACAAATAATACTAGAGCTCCCCATAGAGAATCACTTTCTCTTATAAAGTTTCGCTCTAGTAAATCCTATAATTGCAACTTCAATTCTTTCAATTTAGTTGGAGCCATTTTATAAGGTGTCTTAGAGATAGGTGCTACCCTTGAGTCACATCAATTTTAACTGATATCTCTCTTTCCGGTGGCAATGACTCTAGTTTCTCGGGAAACACATCTGGATAGTCCTTTACCACTAGCACATCCTCCAAGCTCACCTTATCACTAGGAGTATTTATAAGAGAAGCCAAATATCCTTGAGCTCCCTCCCTTACTCAATATTTTTCTAACTCGAATTCTTGAAATAAAGGCAGATGAGGTTAGTCTACCCCTTATATCCAATTTTAGGGTTGTCTCCCCTGGAATACATAACTCTACCGTTTTCGTCTTACAATTCAATTGAGCATGGTAGCAAACTAACCAATCCATATCTAGGATTATATCATATCCCTTAATAGTTAAACCCATCAAATCGGCAAAAAATTTTCGCTCTCCAACACTAGATTGTTTAAATGCTGACTTTTGTAACCATTGAGTATCACCTCCCTCCTTCGGCACACTTGGACATCTTGAGAGCTGATGCTTGGTGCTGCCACAATACAGACACTTTCTCGATTTCCTCCAATATTCATTCTCCGTGTGGTTGGGCTTACCACAATAGTCACAAACAACTTGAGGAGCTACGGCCTGTCCACTAGGAGATGTTCCTCTCGATTGACCTCATCCACTGTGGTCTTCTCTTGATATAGCCCTTCTTGGTGTTCCAGATGTCTTTACTCCTCTTGTTCCTCTTCCCATTATTGGAGGTGGAGCACTCTTATTTAGTTAACTAGGAGGGTTACTGGGAGCGCCCCTTTTTTTTGTACGAAAATCTCTAACTTGCAATTTTGCACTCTCGACTCGCTGCGCATTCTCTAGGGTCTCAGTGAAAGTAGGGATTTGGGCTGCCACTAGCATCTCTTGAATCTCCACATTTAACCCTTGTACGAATAGCCATATCCTTCTCCTTTCAGTGGCCACTAACTCCGGAGCAAACCTAGAAAATTGAGTGAATCGCTCCTCATAGTCAGCCACGCTACAAGTCCCCTGTTTCAATTTTATAAATTCATCCTCCCTTTTCTCTTGAATCATGGGCGGGAGAAACTTCTCATTAAATTCTCTCACAAAATTTTTTCGGATCCAAGGTGTTTGTACTTTTTTCCATTTTTCCTTAACCATGTTCCACCAAGCACGTGCCACACCCTCAAATTGAAAGACAGCGAAATTCACTCACCTCTCCTTAGTGCAGTCTAAAACGGCAAAGATGTTAGTCACTCTCTCCAACCAATTCTCCACTATTTCGGGATCAAGTCCCCCAAGAAATTTAGGCTGGGCAAATTTCAAAAATCGCTCCAAGACTCTATCATCCCTTCTCTCCTGAGCCCCAAGCTGATTAACAGGTCCTGGATCTTGACACTCTACTAACCGTTCTAAGATATCAATCATATAGTTAATAGCAGTAGCTACTTGGTTATCCTCTTCGTTTACTTGCCCTTGACTCGGTCCAGTTGTCGATTCTTAATCGTCTCCTTGAGTTTGGGGTTGCCTAACCCCACGTCTACGGCCCCTATCACTTTTTCGGCCTTCCATAGTTTTAGTAATTTTCTAAAGGCATAAACGTAAGATAAATATGCATAAGCGGAGTTTAAAATGACACTTTAATTGTACAAGACGAAAAATAAGTAAGGGAGAGACCAAAATAATTGCAATTATGCACAATCTATAACATAGATTAGAAGTCATAGAGCAACAAAGTCAAGCATATCATAAGTAACGTTCAAGTGCTTCAAAAGGTAGGTAGCACAGTTAAGCAAAATACAATGGCCTTTGAGCAAGTACCACCCTGACGATTCTAGACAAAAATTACTAAAGTAGACTAAATCACTAGCTTAGTGATTGGCGGAGTCAGAAGTCTCTGCTACTTCAGTAGGATCATCTTCCTCTTTAGCACTAGGAGTTTCTTCTTCATTTTTCTCGTCGAGTATCTTGCCATCCATTACTTGGTCGACCAAAGTAACACACTCAGCCATCAGCCCCTCAGTCTGGTCTCTAATCTCATATACTATCCTAGTAAGTCGGCTCTTAGCCTCTTGAAGTTGCTCACGACGAGGCTTAGCCTTTTTCCGCTCCTCAAGTACATCCGTCTCTAGTTCATGAATTCTAGCAGTCTGGGCATCTACAGTTGCCCTCAATTCTCGATTATCCTCTCGAACTACCCTATTCTCCTCGGATACCCGCCTTTGATCATCGATTACTCCTAGCACCATATGATTAGGATACGAGTAAATTCTCCGACAGTCACACGGAGGTCTAGTTTGACGAATTGGGTTCCAACTCCAACGAGCACCCCCAGGCCCCTCTCGATAACAGACCACCGGATGGCGCATCTGCAATGGCTCATTACCATCGTGTTCAAACTCTTTTCACAAGAGGGACAAAATTGAGCCACAAGATGCTGCTGTATGATTTTCTCGGGTAAACAGGTGAAGTAAATCAGTCCACTTTGCCGGTTCGCTACGGCTCACTCAAAACGAATTAGTAGGGAAATTTTATACCATTGGAAAGCTCTTGGTATCTAGTTTCAAATGCCGCAAATGGCATTGGATTTTGACCTTTGTACAAGGATTTATGTGCAATTAAAGAGCCCCTGGTCGGCTGACCTGGGCTACTTTTTCCAGTTTTCTTTCTTTCTTCAAAACTTAAGTTTTACCCAACCAATTGAAATGATTTTTGAAAGATAATTTTTACCCACACAATACAACATAAAACAAGCATTTTTTCAGCCATTTGAGCTGCAAAATTAGAAATTAAAGCAGGGAAACAAGACAGCCAAATTCGGTCAGCCCCTTCCCCTTCATTTTCAAGTCCCTCTCACCTTTTGGCATTTTAATCACAACTGAAGCTACACTTATCGGATTGAAATGAATCTTATGTTGTTTCGAAACAAAGACATAGGCCTACATTTATTATGAAGACCTCCCAAGCCAAATAATGCATTTTCATGGTTAAAAATTGAAATTTCAGAGAAAACAAAAAGCTATCTGTTAAACAGGGCATTTGGGCAGTCAGGGATATTTTAGTCATTTCACAATCTACAGTGCTCCGATTGAGCTGCAATGTTTTGGGTAGAAAGCTAACTCAAATCCCAATAACTTTCATGTTTTGAGTAAGAACTGATTTGGCCTTTATCATGAACAAATATGCAGTTCAAGTGGCGAGTACAAATCTGGAATAAAGCTGGCATCAAAGAAATAATTGGGAAACAAGAGATGCCTTCAACAAAACCTAACTTCCATGGCTCAAATCCAACTTTCAAGCCAACAACCAAGTTATAATCGACAAGAATACAACCAAACAAGCAAGAATCCTCAAGTTCTCTACCTAAAAGTTCACCTCAAGGCCACTACCTCGAATTTAAAGTAAGAAACAAGGGTTTTCCTCAAGTCCTCTAGCTTAGGTTTTGGTTAGGGTTTCCAAATCCAAACAAGAACCACTAACCATTACTGATCTTTGAAAAACTAAAGATCAAAGGGAGTAAAATTTGTTACCACTTGAAGGTTTCTTGAACCCTAGTTGAAGGCGAGAGTTTTCACCAACACTTCACCAAAAACCACCACAAGATAGCACCTTTCCTCTAGCTAAAGCAATATCCAAAGGTCTTGAGAGTTGGGTGTGGATCTTTGAGCAAGATTAAGGCCAAAGGTTGAAACTTTTTCTTCCTCCTTTTGAGCTCCCAAATTCGGCCGAGGTAGAGAGAGAGAGTGAGGGAGTCGAAGTTTTTGATTTGTGGTGAAAAGGTAAGAAGAAAGGTAGCTTTTTGATAGGTGAGAAAGTCAACTTTGACTAGTGGGGTAATATTGTCATGGCCTACCAATTTCTTTATTGTTTACTACCCTTAAATACTAATCCTCCAAGATAGTTCTTCTAGCACTAAATTACCTATTCTTATTAGTTTAAAATTAATTCTCCAAATCTTCGATAAGTCGTGCCAGCGCGACTTTTGAAAAATTTAAACGCGTAAACGATAAACGTTTAATTTAAGAAAAAATCATGCTAAAATAATAAAATAAAATAACACCAAATGCAAATAATTTTTAAATATGCTAAATTAAGAATAAAAATATGATTTCTCACATCGTCTCCTCCTTAAAAGAATTTCATCCACGAAATTCACACTTTAATTCGAAAATAGATCTGGATATTTTTCTCGAATCTCTTCTTCTACCTCTCAAGTTGCTTTCTCTATTCCGTGATTCCTCCATATAACTTTTATCAAAGGGATTTGCTTATTTCTCAGCTCTTTTACTTTGCGATCCAAAAGTTTCATTGGTTTCTCCTCATACGTTAGTGCCTCGGTAATCTCGATATTTTCTGGTTGCAGTACATGGGAGGGATTTGGATGATATTTCTTGAGTATAAATACATGAAAAATATTATGGATTTGAGACAAATTGGGTGGTTGTTCTAAATTATAGGCCACGTTTCCGACACGTTGGAGAATCTTATAGGGTGCTACAAATTTTGGTTGTAACTTCTTTTCTCTTCCTGCCATCAAACTCGCTTTTAGAAGAGTGATCTTAAATAAAAGTTGATCTCCAACTGCAAACTCCAAATCCTTCTTTCGATTATCTGCATAACTCTTTTGATGGATCTGAGTTGTTTGAATCTTTTGGCGTATCAACTTCACCTTTTCATATGGCTCCTCAATCCACGGTACTACAGTTGGATCTAAGATCTTCCTTTCACCTATTTCATCCCAACAAATCGGAGATCTACACATCCGGCTATAAAGAGCCTCGTAAGCAGCCATTTGAATGGATGAATGGAAGTTATTATTACAAACAAATTTCACCAATGTTAAGTACTTACTCCAACTTTCTCTAAAATCCAAAATACATGATCTTAACATGTCCTCAAGAGTCTGAATTGTCCTCTCTGACTGTCCATCCGTCTTTGGATGGTAGGTAGCACTAAAACTCAATTTAGTTCTTAGCATTTCTTGCATCTTCTGTCAGAATTGAGAAACAAACCAAGGGTCTCGATCGGACAGAATACTTACTGGTATTCCATGTAACCTTATAATTTCATCCAAATATAGCTTAGCTAGCCTCTCCAGTGAGTACTTCATACTAATCGGCAGAAAATGAGTAGATTTTCTCAATCTATCCACTATCACCCAAATGGCGTCCTGAGTTCTTTGTGTCCTTCGTAATCCAGATACAAAATCCGTAGTGATACTTTTCCATTTCCACTCGGGTATCTCCAAAGGCTGCAATAGGCCAGATGGTTTGTTATGCTCAAATTCAACCTGCTGATAAATCAAACAAGTCCGAACATATTAAGCAATTTTCTTTTTCATATTCTCCCACCAATACAAGCTTTTCAAATTTTGGTATATTTTATTTCCTCTAAGATGTACCGTATATTTAGAATGATGAGTTTCTTCTAAGATTTTTCTTTTTAGCCCTTCATCTTTCGGCACTACTATGCGATATCGAAACCTTAGTACACCATTTGATCCCAAATTAAAATATGACGTTTCCCCCTTTTTAACCTTTTCCAAACACTTTTGTACCTCTGAATCCTTCTCTTGTGCCTCCTTGATACGATATAATAAAGTAGATTTCACAATAATGTTCGCCAGGATTACCTTTCTTGGTTCAAGACGAGGGTTCCAAACATTGATTTTTTCTAACAAGTGTAATTCTTTAATCATCAATCTAGCCACTTGCACTTTATGACTTAAAGCATTGGCTACCACATTAGGTTTTTTCGGGTGATAATTAATCGTACAATCATAATCTTCCATAAAATCCACCCATCTACGTTGTCTCAAATTTAACTCTTTTTTGGAAAAATAAATATTTAAGACTCTTGTGGTCTGTAAAAACCTCAAATGTCACCCTATATAGGTTATGTCTCCATTTCTTCAATGCAAACACTATCGCCGCTAATTCCAAATCATGAGTTGGGTAATTTCTTTTGTGAGGTTTTAACTTTCTAGAGGTATAAGCAATCACCCTCTCATTTTGCATCAATACACACCTCAATCCTTCTTTTGAATCATCCGTGTGAGCCACAAAACTATCTTTCCCATTAGGTAAGGCTAAGACAGGTGCCCTTATCAAACGTCTCTTCAACTCTTGAAAACTCTCTTCACACTTAGAACTCCACATAAACTTTCCATTCTTCTTAGTCAAGTCAGTCAGGGGTCCCGCAATTTTAGAAAATTTTTTGATAAACCTCCGGTAATGCCCCGCTAACCCTAAGAAACTTTAAATTTCAGTAGGGTTTTCCGATTGTTTCCACGTAGAAACTGCTTCAACTTTGATTGGATTTACCTTAATTCCTTCCTTGGAGATTATGTGACCTAAGAAAGTTATTTCTTTCAATCAGAATTCACATTTACTGAATTTAGCATACAGTTGATGTTCTCTCAAGGTTTGCAAGACAATTCTCAAATGTTTCTCATGATCCTCCAGAGTCTTAGAGTATACCAGTATATCGTCAATAAATACCACCACAAATTGATCTAAATAGGGCTTAAAAATTCGATGCATTAAATCCATGAAAGCTGCAGGAGCATTAGTTAATCCAAACGGTATCATCGCAAACTCAAAGTGTTCGTGCCTTGAATTAAAGGCAGTTTTAGGTATATCTTTTTCCAAAATCCTCAATTGATAATAACCCCGAGATCAAACTTTGAGAATACTACTGCCCCTTGCAATTGGTCAAACAATTCATCAATGTGGGGTAAAGAGTACTTGTTTTTAACGATAACATCATTCAAGTCTCGGTAGTCTATACATAATTTTAAACTCCCATCCTTCTTTTTAACAAATAATACTAGAGCTCCCTATGGAGAATCATTTTCTCTTATAAAGTCTTGCTCTAGTAAATCCTGTAATTGCAACTTCAGTTCTTTCAATTCAACTAGAGTCATTCTATAAGGTATTTTAGAGATAGGCGCTACCCCTGGAGCCACATCAATTTTAAATAAAATCTCTTTTTCTGGTAGCAATGACTCTAGTTTCTCAGGAAATACATTTGGATAGTCCTTTATCACTGACACATCCTCCAATCTCACCTTATCACTAGGAGTATTTATAAGAAAAGCCAAATATCCTTGAGCTCCCTTAGTCAACATTTTTCTAACTCAAATTCCTGAAATAAGGGCAGATGAAACTAGTCTATCCCTTACATCCAATTTTAGGGTTGCCTCTCCCGGAATACATAACTCTACCGTTTTCGTCTTATAATTCAACTGAGCATCGTAGCCAGCTAACCAATGCATACCTAGGATAACATCATACCCCATAATAGTTAAGCCCATCAAATCGGCCAATAATTTTCGTACTCCAACCCATATCTCCCAATTTCTATACACCAAATCGGCAATTAAACTTTGATCTCCAGTAGGCATTTTAACCTCTAAGTCATAGGGTAAGTTGATCGGTCTCACGTTTACCCTACTCATGAATTTAGGGTTTACAAAAGAATGTGCCGCACCAAGGTCAATTAAAACTTTAGTTAAACAGTGGAAGATAAGAATCATACCTTCAACGATCTCAGTAGAATCGAGAACCTACTGATGATCTAATGCATAAACCCTAACCGGCACCTTAGGTCGACTTCCTCCAACACTAGATTGTTTAGATTCCGATTTTTCTGGCCGTTGAGTACCACCTCCATCCTTCGGCACACTTGGACATCTTACGAGCTGATGGTCAGTACTGTCACAATACAGACACTTTCCCAATTTCCTCCAACATTCATTCTCCGTGTGGTTGGGCTTACCACAATAGCCACAAACAACTTGAGAAGCTATGGCCTATCCACTATTAGGTGTTTCTCTCGATTGATCTCGTCCACTGTAGTCTCCTCTAGATATAGCCTCTCTTGGTGTTCCAGATGTCTTTACTCCTCTTGTTCATCTTCCCATTATTGGAGGTGGAGCACTCTTATTTGGTTGTCCAGGAGGGTTACTGGGAGCGCCCCTTTTCGTTGTACGAAAACCTCTAACTTGCAATTTCGCACTCTCGACTCGCTGCGCTTTCTCTAGGGTCTCAATGAAAGTAGGGATTTGGGCTGCCACTAGCATCTCTTAAATCTCCACATTTAACCCTTGTACGAATCGCCATATCCTTCTCCTCTCAGTGGCCACTAACTTCGGAGCAAATCTAGAAAATTTAGTGAATCGCTCCTCATAGTCAGCCACGCTAAAAGTCCCCTGTCTCAATTTTATAAATTCATCCTCCCTTTTCCCTTGAATCATGGGCGGGAGAAATTTTTCATTAAATTCTCTTACAAAATTTGTTCGGATTCAAGGTGTTTGTACTTTTTTCCATTTTTCCTTAACCACGTTCCACCAAGCACGTGCTGCACCCTCAAATGGAAAGGCAGCGAAATTCACTCGCCTCTCCTTAGTGCAGTCGAAAACGGCAAAGATGTTAGTCACTCTCTCCAACCAATTCTTCGCTATTTCGGGATCAAGTCCCCCAAGAAATTTAGGCTGGGCAAATTTCAAAAATCGCTCCAAGACTCTATCCTCCCCTCTCTCCAGAGCCCCAAGCTGATTAACAGGTCCTGGATCTTGACACTCTACTAACCGTTCTAAGATATCAATCATATGGTCAATAGCAGTAGCTACATGGTTATCCTCTTCGTTTACTTGCCCTTGGCTCGGTCCAGTTGTCGATTCTTAATCATCTCCTTGAGTTTGGGGTTGCCTAACCCCACGCCCACGACCCCCTCCACTTTTTCAGCCGTCCATAGTTTTAGTAATTTTCTAAAGGCATAGACGTAAGATAAATATGCAAAAGAGGAGTTTAAAATGACACTTTAATTATGCAAGACGAAAAATAAGTAAGGGAGAGACCAAAATAATTGCAATTATGAACAACCCATAACATAGATTAGAAGTCATAGAGTAACAAAGTCAAGCACATCATAAGTAACGTTCAAGTGCTTCAAAAAGTTGGTAGCACAGTAAAGCAAAATACAATGGCCTTTGAGCAAGTACCACCCTGACTATTCTAGACAAAAACTACTAAAGTAGACTAAATCACTAGCTTAGTGATTGGCGGAGCTAGAAGTCTCTGCTACTTCAGTAGGATCATCTTCCTCTTTAGCACTAGGAGTTTCTTCTTCATTTTTCTCGTCGAGTATCTTGCCATCCACTACTTGGTCGACCAAAGTAACACACTCAGCCATCAGCCCCTCAGTCTGGTCTCTAATCTCATATACTACCCTAGTAAGTCGGCTCTTAGCCTCTTGAAGTTGCTCACGACGAGGCTTAGCCTTTTTCCGCTCCTCAAGTACATCCGTCTCTAGTTCATGAATTCTAGCAGTCTGGGCATCTACAGTTGCCCTCAATTCTCGATTATCCTCTCGAACTACCCTATTCTCCTCGGATACCCGCCTTTGATCATCGATTACTCCTAGCACCATATGATTAGGATACGAGTAAATTCTCCGACAGTCACACGGAGGTCTAGTTTGACGAATTGGGTTCCAACTCCAATGAGCACCCCCAGGCCCCTCTAGATAACGGACCACCGGATGGTGCATCTGCGAAGGCTCATTACCATCGTGTTCAAACTCTTTTCACAAGAGGGACAAAATTGAGCCACAAGATGCAGCTGTATGATTTTCTCGGGTAAACAGGTGAAGTAAATCAGTCCACTTTGCCGGTTCGCCACGGCTCACTCAAAACGAATTAGTAGGGCAATTTTATACCATTGGAAAGCTCTTAGTATCTAGTTTCAAATGCCGCAAATGGCATTGGATTTTGACCTTTGTACAAGGATT